ACGATTCTGAACAGTTTCATCCTGCTATCATCCTGCGGTGCGAAACTGTCACATAGGGACTTTCGTCTTACCCTTATGCACAACATGCTGGAACATGCTGTAATGTGTCGCTCCCAACCACAACGCCCATTAGGTCGACCTCCTGCTCTGTCATCCACAATATTTCGTCTAGAGGAGGCCAATCGACATCACTGGCCGACCTCTTGTGCCATGAGAATGAAATGCCGTGTTTGTTCTGCACGTGGAAAGAGGAAACGTGTTCAGACGAAGTGCGAGAAATGTGATGTGGGACTGTGCATTCTCGGGTGCTTCAAACAGTACCACACGAAAGCAAAATTTAGTCAGACGACGCAGGGGAGTAGCCTGTACAACCATGAAACAGATAACAACAACAAAAAAGTATTTTACATTGCATTTACTGCCAAAGAAGTAACGGGATGCTTTTAAGTCATTTAGAAAAGAACCGGGATGTCATCCCGCCCCACCTCAAACCCTGGGTGAGGGTGATTGTAGAGCAATTGGTAGAATGAAGATTGGCAGGGGAAACCGAAGTATTCGGAGAAAACCTACCCCAGCGCCACTTTGTCCACCACAAATCCCACTTGACGGAACCCGGGCCGCTGCGGTGGGAAGCCAGCGACTAACCGCTTGAGCTATGGCGCGGCCTTTGGTTTCAGTAACTCGTAATTCTTAACTAGAAGTAAGAGACCACTGGATACAAAATGTAAATGGTTTTCAACCCGAATAATAACAGACATTACTAAAGACTTGATTTCTGCATTCTGAGATGACACCATGTAGCCTGGTATATCATTGTGGGGGTTCCTGCGAAGTATCTCCAGTGACCTACCAGAGTATATGGTGTCACATTTCAGAGAGTCATCGCGTGACAACCCCTTATCTGGCAGGCAGTTATCCCAATTAGCCAATGAACCTCGTTGCTGTTAATTACTTAAGGTTTTCACGAAGGTTAATTGTTGATGTTAATTCAGTACTTGGCTTGCTACATCGCGTGGTTTTAGAAGTTGTTGGCGACGTTTCGGAGGTAAATAATGTGTATGTCTTCAGAGTCTAGTGATGTAGGTTGGTACGCGCTTCGACGTTGAAAATGTAGACAGCATTTACCTCCTAAACATCGGAAATATCCTCATTCCTATGTGTTGGCTTTGTTCCTAAATATAAATATATCAATATTTCCAGATTTTTTATATATACAGAACATATACAGAAGGATAAAACATCTCTCTTATGGTTTCATTTTATGCACTTTGGGCAAATAACACATAAAGTAATGTTCTTTTAATGGCGAACATGTTGCGGAACAAATTCTTACATCGAATCGCACATTAAATATTCCGCGCGTTCTGTGAGAGAAATAGCACACTAAACAACAACAGACACAAGGCAGTGGATGTTGTAACTCTTCGGTAATGGCACTTTTGTTACGGAAAATGGCAGTTACTATACGTCACTTTTATGACATACAATCTTTTAGTGCGTTACAAAATGACGGCTGTCACCATTATACCTTTAGTAACAATAATTTTACTTCTTTCTCCCTTTTTTAATAGACGTGTAAGCTCTGGCATAGCATTTTTATACACTATCGAGTTGAATATTAAATGTCGCTTCACACTTTAAGAGCACTACCTTCCGAGATGCCAAATCGTGCAGCCTAGCACCCGTCACAGGAAACGCATGTCGCGTGACCACGACCCACCGCTGTGTGACGTCACTGCGGACAAGGAAAACACAGCCTCCTCTATTGTTGCTTGTTGGATCATGTTTACAGAGCTGTTGCCTGGCAACGTGTTGACAAAATCCGTTACAGTACTCATGACTTGTAACTAACATATTAAAAATGAAAATTTCTTACATAATTTTAGTGGAAGAAGTTGGAGGGAAGAACCCATTCGCTAGACCTGGATGTAGACAGAAAGATAATAGAATAGATCGTAACAGGACCTTGATTAAAGATTTATCTCATACTGAGCTAAGCTTTGGGGGCCGGTTCCTTGTCGGCTGTGCGCGACTCAGCACAGATAGAGACAGCCTGTATTCGTGTGAAGCCATAATGAGAAAGTAACACATTTACTGTGATGAAGGGCTGAATATAATTATTTGAGACTGAAATATATAGTAGCTCTTTCCTAGATTGAAGTTGGCTGGTTGTTGAAACTGCTGTGCGTATTTCATTCTTCCTTAAAGGCACGTTCAGCTGTTCAGTTCATAAGACCTCAATTTCTCGATGTCTCTTTTCTGTGACGCCTTCAGTTCATGTAGAAGATATATGCTCGGTAAAGAACAGTGTCAGGCGATAAGAAGTTCATGGATATGACTTGAAATTTGTACCTGTTCGTATGCTGCATTGTCAGCACGCTTTCTTATCGTCAGTTTTACTCTTCGGAGAGAAGCCTTCATGTAACCAAATTTAAAATATGAATCACGTTTAGAACCTTAACATCAGGCTTCAATTCCTGACAGGAGTTAAGGTTCGGCCACACAGAGCGCTACGTACGCTATGTTCGCTATACGAACAGAAAAATATGTCCCTTTATTGCCAATGTGACTGGCCACACAGACTTCCGTACGCTGCGTACGCTATGTTCTCTATGTTAGCTGCGTCGCAGAGTGTACACAGCGTACGTAGCATACGTAGCGAACATAGCGTAGCGCTCTGTGTGGCTGAACCTTAAGAGATTGTCTTCTATGTACACAACATCCAGACCGGATATAGGGCCTAATCAGTTATACAGTGCGTGCTGAGTGCTTTTTCCCCGCGGATAAACTGGCCGGAGCGTAAAGTTGACCACTCACCTCTATCTGCTGCCAAGGATGAAAATGGTGGGGGTACACTTCAAATACGTCTTCATGGCTTTGTGCTTAATTAAGTACATGGATAACTTGACCTCTTATCATGCTTAAAACTGTCGGCTTTATCTACAGTTTCTCTTGAATAAAAACGAAATTAGCAGGGAGCATGTAATATAGAAGGAGTGAGGAAAAGCTAAAAAGGGAAAATAAAATAAACTAAGGAATTAAAACGTGATAATACTCTCAGGTTCGTTATTTAACGACGCTTTCAGTATGGAGGAGAAAACTCCATAATGAGGAGCTTCATAACTTATACTCTTCTCCAAGTATAATTAGAATGATCAAGTCAAGGAGGATGAAATGGGCAGAGCACGTAGCAGGAATGGATGAGAAGAGGAGTGCATATATGATATTGGTGGGGAAACCAGAAGGAAAGAGGCCACTAGGAAAACCAAGATGTAGGTGGGTGAATAATATTAAAATTGATCTTAGAGAAATAGTATGCGGTGGAATGGACTGGATTGATATGACTTAGGATAGAGACCAGTGGAGGGCTCTTGTGAACACGGTAATGAACCTTCGGTTTGAATAAAATGCTGGGAAGTTGCTGAGTAGCTGCACAACTGGAGGCTTCTCAAGAAGGGCTCAGTATGGAGATATGACCAATGAATGCGGAATTCTGGATTGTGTGGAAATTGCAAGCGGAAGCGGAAAGTGTGCCATTCGGTAGGCCTGATTTTATGTAGTGGCTGGAGTATAGTCACTCTGCACATTGGGACGCCAATGAGAGAGTCGAAACTCTTTATTAGAACGCCGTCGTGTAAACTGTCGAGGGACCTGTAGGCCCTGGACAGGAAACAGTGAAGCCAGGGACCGGATTATTGACTCTCCACCGTACACTGAGAAGTCGGATAAGGGAATCTCGAAAAGCAGCACGTACAGAAAACGTGGACATGATTCTACCATTCTCTTTTTCAATGCTCTCCTTTGGCAGGAAGATATTACTTTTGGCCGGTCAAGGTCATCCCACTACACCCAATTACTGATTTCTATGGCTATCCGCGACTTCCCACCCAACATACTTAACTTCCTAACACACGTAATTATGTCCCCGAAACGCCTGTAAAGCACATATTTTCTAGAATTCATTTTATTGGTGGTAATAAATGAAAGAAGTGTGACCTTGAATGGCGTAAAGAAATGACCTTGACATTAAGCGTCAGGTCTGCATGATTAGAAACTGTAGATATGACGAAGGCTTCAGCCGCGATGGTTATGTCTCTGGCGTCAGAGTCAGGGCTTTTAGAAGGTCCAAAATCCAGGTGAGCACAGTGAAACTAGAAGCGGTCTAAGTGCTTTGGACTACTGAAACTTGTTCCACTGCCAGTGAATAATACATATGCATAATACACAGTCGCCATTTGGGGGGAGACGTTAGTATCTGCCTTTTGGCTACAGGATGCAACACTCAAAAAACCTGAATCCAAAGTCCATTATATTTACTGTCATATAATTTAATGCATTTGTGTACTTGAAATTTGAAGTTCTGACTGTGTCACATTTCAGAAGACTTCAGTCTTGTTATTTCTATAATGTTTATTCTGCCTGTACTCCTTCTGTGTTACAATGAATACGCATTTAAAACACAATAATAATAATAATTATAATAATAATAATAATAATACAGGATGATTCTAAATTGTTGTCTGAGTTCCCATGGCCTATAATTTTCAAATTAAAGATAACATAATAAAACTGCTGACGTAATATGAAAAAAGTAACTCAAAAACTTTTATTACGTTTAGAATAAACGTTTTAAGTTACACTTTCGTATTCCATAAGCAGTTTTATTCCGGTTTGAAAATTATAGACCACGAAAACCACGACAATACTTTAGAATCATCCTGTGTAATCAGTTGTATTTTATCCTCACTTTACGTGCAAATTATTTTCTTGAGTACATATCTATATTCTGTACAATCTCATTTATCGTTTACATAGACTATATAGAGTTCATGTAGTTAAGAAGGCGTCCTTAAGCTTAATAAATAAAATACCTACTTCCTTTGAAACGTTTCCTCAAATTTACATTTAAAACAAGTTGATGAAATTATCCTTCTACCGCACCGTAGGTAAAATATAACATCATAGAATTTGTAATTTGATTTTGTTTTCATGTCCTACAGCGATTTGGAGAACAATCTCATCAACAGAATTTCTTCAGCTGCTCTCAACGTAAGGGCGGAACAGCTGTGAGTATTCTTCAGGAATTTCAAACCGTGTTTATATTAACCGATTAGGTAAGCAGTTAAGAGTTCGTACTTAACATATTTATAGGAATACAAACACGGAAAAGTGTGTTCCTAAGGCAGCTGGTCACGGTACCTCAGCTGTCAGCTTGCATCTGTAGCATTCTCTATCTGGGAATTTCTCATCTCGTAACTTGAGAACACACATGTAAGCCGTCAAGTGGTGCCTCCATCGGTGTTCTCGCTAACTCGTTGCAACTTTCGCGGAGCAGACGTTACTTTATTTGTATGACTAGAGTTTTCGAAACAACGATGTAAGGGATGAAGTCCCGGAGAAGAAGAAACAAGTAACACGCCCCTAAATATTAAGATGAAGAAGATTATTAAACTACCACAACTTATTTACTTTAATCGATACAGTAAGTAAACGTTCTAAGAATTATAGGCATTGAACTATCCAGATAATGCTCATGTAACACTTACAGAGTAATGGAACACCTGTGCAAGGTTCTTACAAACAAACAAAATTCAGTCGGACTGGCTACCCAACAGTTTGTATGGTATCATTGCGAAATTAAAGAGTATTTTATTATTAGTACCCGAAAATGTCTACTTAATTTGTAATTGCCCCGCACAGCCCGGGAGATATCATGCGATTCAGAATCTCTACTTGTCCCTATCCTGAGCCAGATCAATCCAATCCATACCATCCAATCCTATCTCTCTAAGATCCATTTTAATATTGCTAATCCTCCTTGCTAGTGGTATCTATCCTTCTGGCTTTCCCACCAATATCCTGTATGCAATCCTCTTCTCCACCATTCGTGCTACATGCCCTGCCCACCTAATCCTCCTTGACTTGATCATTCTAATTATACTTGGAGAAGAGTACAAGTTATGAAGCTCCTCATTATGCAGTTTTCTCCAACCTCCTATCACTTCATCTCTCTTAGGTCCAAATATTCACAAATACCAACAAGTCAATCAGTTTATTATAATAATTACTCTGCATGTTCCCGTCTCCTTGTCTATCATCACGTGTGTATAAATCAAAGTAATAAATATATCGGGTTATTCCTGAATTATATGTTAAAAATGGGTCCATTTTCCAACGTCATAAATTAGAAATTGTGTAAATACTTATTGGTGTATATACGAAAATATATTCCCAATATTCTAGGATTATTAAAGTATATATATAAAATAGAATCACATATGGTGATCCTTGTGTGTGCTATATTGTGTTCGCTTTTTAGCGGTTACTTTTCTTCCTACTAAAATTTTTAATTCATTCCTCTCATAAGTACTACGTGCCCTGTCCGTCTTATCGTCCTTGATTTGATCATTCTGATAATATAGTTAAGTACTGGCTAACTAAATCCATGTAACAGATTCCTTCTTAGGGAAGTAACATTCTCTCAGCTGGTCAATAAATTCACTCTGCTTGATGGAACACGAAGATTCATTACCATATTCATGAGAGCCATCTATTGATCCCTATCCCAAGCCAATTGTTTCCGTCCTATACCCTCATACACTATGAAGACCTGTTTTAATGTCGTCCCTTATAAGCTACTGTTCTTCACATTTCTTGTCATTCCCATGCGTGCTACAGCTCTCGCTCATCCCTCCCCCCAGTTGGTCACTCCAAGAAAATATCTTGTCACTCTTTGCTGGGCTTAGTATATTCTTCCTGAAGAGGAAAGCAATATATTCTTCCAGGTCGTTGATAATTTTCGACCTAATGCTAGTGGGGTGGGACTAAGTCCCTTGTACTGCGGCCACTTCTGGCCTATTGTACCAGCCCCAGATGATAGGTGAGGGTGATTGTGGAGTAATTGGTGGAATGAAGATTGGCAGGGGAAACCGAAGTACTTGGAGAAAACCTGCCCCAGCGTCACTTTGTCCACCACAAATCCCACTTGACCAGACCCGGAATCGAACCCGGGTGCCGCGGTGGGAAGCCAGCGACTAACCACTTGAGCTATGGCGCGGCCCTATGTTGACCGTAACTCTCCCTGTAACTTGTTACATATTCATCAGAGCGAAAAGTGTTACAAAAAGAATTTGTTCAGAAGATTATAACACATATTTTCGTCCACGTATTCCGTAACTTGAGAACCGCTGAGCTGTTTTCAATCAAATTTAATGTTGGAGGTCTCTGTATAATTTTGTTACATTTAATAAATATCAGTTCAGTGGAAGATGTAATTTACATAACCGAAATCATCAGAACTCTTACGCTCTACTTACATCTCCCAACTTATTCTTTCATAAAATAATTTGTAAAATTACTGGGAGCTAATTTTCATGTATTTTACAGGCTTCTTGCATATAACGTCATTGCAGAGGTTGAGGGCCTTGCGTTCAACGGATCACAGGTAGCCAAATTGTAAGTAAACAATGTACATATTGAAGAGTGCGACCTTATCGTTTGTAACCCCGTGTAATTGAGAGAGAGACACACGTTTCGGAGGAAAATATCGCCTTTATCTTCCGGTCCGAAATTCAGTGAGCACGGATCTGCTTGCCGCCTGGATCTTACTCATTTATTTTGCTTCCGAAACGTCGCGATCTTTCCGAAATATACAGCGTTGCATCCTAGAAGACTGTGCTCTTCAGTGTTACAGCTGTGATAAGAAAATGGAGACCGTAGTAGCGCTGGAGGCACAGCAATTTCCGCAAATGTCACTGCACCTGATGGTGGCCAAGCTGGCCGAAACATCTAGTGCAGGGATGAATTTTAAAAATGATTTAATCTTAAATCTTAACACTGTTGCAAAGGCCGCGCCATAGCTCAAGCGGTTAGTCGCTGGCTCCCCAACGAGGCGGCCCGGGTTAGATCCCGGGTTTGGTCAAGTGGGATTTGTGGTGGACAAAATGGCGGTGGGGAAGGTTTTCTCCGAGTACTTCGGTTTCCCTTGCCAATCTTCATTCCACCAATTGCTCCACAATCACCCTCACCTACCATCTGGGGCTGGTACAATAGGCCAGAAGTGGTTGCAGTACAAGGGACTTAGTCCCACCCCACTAGCAATAAAAAATAATAATAATAATATTGTTGCATGGTGGAATGTGAACAAAACTGAAAATAAATTGTAGTGCACTGTTTGTAACTACTCGCACTATCAACTAGGTTACCTTAATGGTGTTGCAAATGAAAATACGTAAGTCATAATCCGGTCTAAACACTCTTCGTTATAATGATTTTGATTACTACTCGTATAAAACATTTATATAGTTTACGTAATCCGTGTCGTCACAATTCCCGGGTCTCTTCTTCCGGAGGAAGTGATGGGGAAAGGAATTTTCAGGGACCGAAACCCATGCATGCAACAGCAAAATTAAAACTTTTCCGGTGGTTGTCACTTCAATTTGAATATGTTTGTCTTAAGTCTTTACTCTACAACATGATGTCTGGGAGACATATTAAAGAAAGCTGTACAAAGTTGGATATGAGGCACATGTACCCCACATTTAAGCATAGTAATAAGTAAAAAGTTTGATAAACGTACCAAAAATAAGCTTTAATATGACGATTTCGCTTACTGGGAGGTGGAGTCCAGCTTGGTCCACTCAGCACGCGGCCACTGATTGGCCTATTGTACCTGACCCGGATGATTATGATGATAGAGAAATTGGTGGAATGAAGATTGGCAGGGGAAACCGAAGTACTCGGAGAAAATCCGCCCCAGAGCCACTTTGTCCACCACAAATCCCACTTGACCAGACCCGGGATGGAACCCGGGCCGCCACGGTGGGAAGCCAGCGACTAACCGCTTGAGCTATGGCGTGGCCTAATATGATGATAATTATACAAATTTTTCGTAGGGTTGCAGGCTTGTTTAACCCGCTGACAGTTTGGCATGTTATTACAAGGCACCATGATATTCAGATGTCGCTTAGTTAAGTGGAATGCTGTAAGACGCCGCTACATGAACCTTCTCTGGCTGTTGCAGGAGCCTCAAGGGGAACCGCGCCCTGACCAGGCTCCACCCTGACGCATTTGTTGGACTCAAGAGTCTGCGGCACCTGTGAGTTCTTTTCTGTATTTACGGCCTTCTGCTGATTTTGTTATCTAAAGCTCATTTGTTACAATATGTACCACTTGCTTTAACACACTAAAACTCTGCTTTCCTCCCACAGAGTGTATCTCTATGTTCTGTATGGCTCTCACAATAAACAGCGGTTTTTTCCCTAAACAACATTTACTGGTTGGGTTTTATAGCGGAGCTGGCCAACGTTATATAGACTCGGCACGAACCGCACAGAAAACACCGTTTCCAACAGTTCTTCTAGTGTTAAGTGCGAGTCTGTTGGGGCCATTATCTAGCAACGGCCGTTGTTTGTAGGATAATTACTTAGCAACGGCTATTATACTGCTGCTTAATTTGCGGCCGTTTCCTGGCAACTGATATATATATGTCAAATTATTATTATTATCCTCTCTGAAAATCTATACATTTCATTTCTCAATTAAATATTTATACGTTTTATTTCTCAGTTCTTAATAACACTTAGATTTATGTTAATGAGATTATTATTATCATTATTATTGCTATTATTATCATTTGTTTGTTTGTTTACTTGTCTGCATTATTGTGTTTCCCTCGAGTACTTGCCTGTAATTTGTCTTTGACTTTATGTTGTGTTTGTCCATAATGTAATTACTTGTATCTACCCTGTGCTCTGTCTGTAATTGGCTTTGCGGCTGTTCACTCGGCACATAAATAGTAAATAAATGAATTATTATTGAGTGTATGGCCTTGTCCATTCTCTAGTATTTCGGATAGATCACAGCGTTTCGGAAACCGAATATGTTTCTGTTCTCATGAATGCTAAAATTGACCATAAAAAAACAGCCGTATATTTGTGACGGAGGTTTGGAGCCGTAAGATTAGACTACCTGCCCCACAGACTTGATGGAGAAGTTGCCGCCGGAGCGCGGCGGTTTGCAAAATCCACCGTTTATTTCAGTGAGCTACGGAGTTCGCCAGAAAACTTTAAAACAAAGTACTTCTTACATCATGAACAAGCATATGAAGATCAGAGACGAAGCTTCCAACTTAATCCGCCTTACATATCTGCCAGAATATAAGTTAATAACGTTAAAAGATAAAAAAGTTAAAGCTATCCCTGTACCAGACCTTGAAGGTCCATAGGGTTGTGAGACGTCGAGGCTCCCACATTTTCTAGACAGTCGGCTCACAGATGGCGGTAAGGTTGTCAGACTTACGCGCCCCCCCCCCCCTTTGCCCCCAAGAAGATTCCTGGTACTCATTTCTGTTAAAGGCTGAGGCAACACCAAGGCCATAGTGCGGCTGGAAGGCTTAGGCCAATTGAAAAAAAATCCACGTCATCGGGACTCAAACCCGCGACCTCTGCCTTGTAGCATAGTTTCTCAACCACCTATGGTACCGCATGCCCCAGTTAATCACGTTAAAAAAATTAAATTATTTCGAAGCCCGAGAATAAGATAATGCGCTGCCTTCTCAGGGCTATCGAACGACTCAGGGGGCGGTGATCGATAAGTATGAAGTAATTATAAAATGGTGATTAGCAGGAGAAAGAGATGAAAGTCTGCTCCAGTGATATTTCAACTTGTAATCATCCAGGACTTACGCCGGATGTTCGCGAAGAACTCTGGACTCTGTCTCGACTTTCACACACTATGTGTGATTAATTTTGCCAGCAAACTGAAATCCTACGAGAGGATATTCAATACTCATTGTGACCTTTAACATCTCGGAATCATTAATTCACGTTCCTAGTGACGCCCTTTGTGATACATGAAGAGAACAGCTACAATATACTGTGGCACTGTACCTTGTTTTTCTTTTGTACAGAATTTCATGAACTTGCGGTGCATTATCGTGGTCTAAGAGTTGTGTGAGAAGCGTAAGAGATAAATTGAACCAAAGGAGCTGTGGAGGGGAATTACAAGAATAGGAAATAAGATAAAAAGCACGCTTAAATTTCTCAGAGAGTAAATTATGATGCATTAGCCATGTAAATTCTCCTATATCTCTTATTTTCCAGCATTTTCCAGTACTTCTACTCTCTAAATTATGATAATGTTCCTAACTCCGGTGTTTAAAAATTAACTGTACACCCTAAGTCGTATAAGAGCTCCTTCAATGAAACGGAATATGACTGTAAAAGGAGATAGAAAGCAACTCGTTTCGGTATAGTGAGCTTCAGAACTGTATACTTTACGACACTTAATTTCCTACATGTTGAACTCTTTTCTTATGCTTTTATAAGTTAACAATATATATCAATGTATAAGGTAAGGGTTATAATACAGTGATACGTACCAAAATTAAACACTTACTGCCAAATTTAATCGAAATCTGTCAAGCAGTTTGGGAGCTTAATGCTGCAGGCGAACATAGAGACACGACGTCTTCTATAAGCGTTCGCTTCTTGCAATACAGACAACATATAAGTCTCAGTGGCTTTGCCGGTGATACAGCGCTGCTGTTGTGTTGTTTCATGTGGAAGAGACCTGTCGAAAACTTCGATAACGCATCTCCCCACAGGCGGGCTACAGGAACTGGACGTCTTGAGGTTGGAGGATACAGACACACTCAAAGTGTTCCCGTCCATATACAACTTTGAGGTAAGTCACTTCCTGTTGCTATAATAAGGGTAAAATTTTCCCTGTGATTAGTTAAGCACCGCGCCGTGAAGACGTATGGGGAGTGGATGTATAGATCCACGTATTCTTGCCCTCTGCACTAGGTGGAGGTAAGTGGTTATATTTACGCCCTGGCAGCTTCGCCCCCGAGAAAGAAGGGGTGGGTGGCTGGGTGGGCCCCAGATCCGGTCTGGACGCTGTGGAGGAGAGAAAATATATGTTTTATGTTAATACACGTATTTAATACGACACGTTGCACCGGTAGGGATCCATATCCGTATTTCAATAACTATACGTATTCCTGCCTGACGACGGTCATGTATGCCCGAAACATGTCACAGTAAATAAAGAACTAAATGTAATATTGAAATATTTGTTGTGTTGACGGTAGCAGAGTTCTTACATATTATATATTGTCTGAGACACACAACAAGATGCAACCTATGGGGGAAAAAGAAAGAAAATATGTTGACCTTACCGTCATTTGTCCAGATGGTGCAGTATTGGCTGTCAGACGTTTTTGCAAAATTGGAAAACCGTAGTCAGTCTCTAGTCGTGGTGAAGCTCTGTAAGGGTAAGAAAGAAAGATTTATTGCTGTTCTAATGTTAGCTCCTTTGGATGTGAAGGGAAGGTTGTGTAAACGTTACGTAACGGGCGATATATGGCGCAGTTTATGCCATAATCTATAAAGTACTTTAAACTGGCACAAAGTTATTATTTATATTATTAAATACTATTGAAAATAATATATATTTGCAATACTGATATCACAGAAGTTTTTTTTTCAGAAAATACTTGAAAGTGCAGATTTTTAATGCTAATGGGGTCGAACTAAGTCCCTTGTACTGCGGCCACTTCTGGCCTATTGTACCAGCCCCAGATGATAGGTGAGGGTGATTGTGGAACAGTTGGTGGAATGAAGATTGGCAGGGGAAACCGAAGTACTTGGAGAAAACCTGCCCCAGCGCCACTTTGCCCACCACATATCCCACTTGACCAGACCCGGGATCCAACCCGGGCCGCCGCGGTTGGAAGCCAGCGACTAATCGCTTGAGCTATGGCGCGGCCCCAGACTATGTCATAGTACATGCTTTTATTCGCTGGCTTTCAGCTCTATAGCCCGGGTTCTAACCAAGGAGAAGTCTTGTGGGATTTATGGTGCACAAAGTGGCAAAAGAGCTGGTTTGCTCCGAATACTTCGATTTCTCATTCCACGTTCATTAATCATTTTATTACAGATGATGTAGAGTTTCTACAATGACATCATCTTTAACTAGATAACTAAAAAATTAAGCATTTGTATCTGTGGTTCTTTTAGAATCTAAAAGATTGTGATGTTGGTATACAGCACTTAGAATTACTAGGTTCTGGGGCTTTGTCCATCGTCCTGTATTTAAAAAACAGAGAACACAGCGTTTCGGAAACTGGATATGTCTCCGTCTTGAATGATTGAGGTTGTCTCTTCCTGAGGGACCCAATAGAGGATGTCTCCGCCCACACCTGAGGACGGAGAGAGATCCAATTTCGGAAACGTTGTATTACTTAGTTTTTTTTTTTAGAATATCGGACGTTGGGCAAATTGCACAAACCCAGTAAGCCTGAGTCTGTGAACCTCTCTTGATGTTGCAGCACATTAGGGAGGCGTGGCTTACGTACCCGTATCACTGCTGTGCCTTTCACTTCCCAGCCACTCATGATCCTGCAGAGTATGCACGTCATCAGGTAAGAATTGTGGTGATGTCAAACGGACTGTTTGATTCTGCTATGTGTGAAGGCAGTGAGCGTGTTTTGGAACAGAGTGTGTGCTGTTTTCGTGAGGTCGAGATCCTCGGGGAAGTCAAAATGTGGAGGCCTCTATCGGTAGCTACAGGTTTAGGTTAGGACAACTTGTATGCGTTTCTTAATTCTAATAACAAAAAGTACGAACTTACTTTTCGTGAATAAAATTTAAAAGTTTAATACAATTATTGGCTTTTTGGACGTTACCCATTTTCATGTTTTATTTTATTTAAAAATATTACAACTAATAATGTCCAAAATAATTGTATTACTTTTCGTGATTTTAGAGAAGATAATATCTCAGTAAAACTGTGGATTATATTTATGTTTTGTTGAGGCCCCAGGGGCTACCGCCCGGTTACCTTTCCCTTCTTGAATCATAGTCTGTGTGTATGTGCGTGCGCATTATTTTATTATTTCAGGTATCCAGGACACGCACTTTATTTTAAATAGTTTGTGTCTATCCAGACATGTCTTACGAACAGTTTGGCCTAGGACGCCCAAAATCCTGAAGGAAAACATTCATTAGTTTCACCGTGCGTTCCCTCATTCTTATGCTCATGTTCGAGCCACGAAAATTGGATTCTTTATTTCTGTTTAAGTTTGCTGTTAGGTCTTTGAATAATGTGTTTTTAGTTTTATATTCTATACACATTTTACCGAGACACGCGGTAGCGTGGTTGGTTGAGGCATTATGCTACGAGTAAAAGTCGGAAGGTCCCGATGATGTTACTGGATCTTTCGACTTTTAGCATAGTGCTAACTATGCTAACTAGCATAACTAGACCTCAGTGATACAGTATCAGGTTCCGTAATATTCAGGTGTATGGTATTGCTAAGCTGATTGTCACGTGATGCCAGGTTTATGCGGCCCTGCTGTCGGCTTCTCAAGGGGTTCTGCTCAGTACTAGTTAGTTACTTATCGCAGCCGATAGATGTAGATGCAGCTGTGGTTGTGACACAGGAATTGGTTGAGCAGAGATGCTCAGAGATGACGACACCTGCGCCTGCTAATGTGGATCACCGTGGACGCTGGCGGCGCCTGGCGACAGGAAACCAAACTAACTCCACTACCACGGGCTGGGGCGGATTGGGCGCTCCACGTTCTTCTGTCCCGCTGTCCGCACTGGAACCACATGGCACGTTCCATCAGGTGGGCAGCGACTGCGCGTATGTGATGAGTATTTATTGGAAATGAGATTCTCTCAGTGGTGACTATGCAGATCGCGGTCTTCTTCCTCCGAATGGCGCTAGAGGACATTTTCCGAACTACACTGAGTTACAGTGTTCTTCCGAAGCACACGGCGCTACAGGGATTTTTCCAAACAACAAGGTATTACAGGGACTTTTCCAAACTAGAGAATGTTACAGGGGTTTTCAAGACTACAGGGCATTACAGGGATTTTTCCCAACTACACTGCATTACAGAATTTTCTTTTTAATTTCACTGCCTTGCAGGAATTCTCCCACACTCTACAGCGTTAGAGTTTTATCCAAACTATACGACTACCCACAAAGCCGTACTCTTTGCTGTGGTTATTTGTTTTATTTTGGAGTTGACCGCTTGAAGTCCGTCTTCAAGAGTGCAGAACGGCATAATAAAGGCTGACAGAGAAGGGGCGATGATGACTAGATCAGTGTTTGAAGTCAAGTGTATAACTAATTTGTTGATCTGCGTAAATACATTTACTTTTATACTCATCAAAGCACTCCTTCAGCCACGAACTAAGTATTTGATACGCTACTAAGCAGAAACACTGTGTCAGAGTTTATTATTTTGACTTATGAAAGAAGATGTAAGTACAATGAATTATGAATTGTATGGTAACATACATTTATGACGTAATTCTGCTCTTATTTTAAACAAAAATATATATTTTATTATTCCTTTCTGTGAATTTTGTCACCTTTATCTTTTTTTTTTCGAAACAAATGTATTTACTGCCCCTTAAGAGAAATTCTTGGTTGTTGAAGTACTGAGGCAGATAGACGTGAAGTCACGAAATTTGCTCTGCAATCTTGCCAGTAAGAACGGTAATCATGGCTGTTAATTTTATGTACAGTACTAGACTTTTTGGCTGTAATTCGAATCCCAGTAACTGAGCCGTACTTGTTTAATTAACTATGATTTCTCAATTTGAATGTTACTTTATTAAAATATCAGATATATGTATACTGCGATATTTAAAAGCATGCATATCCCACGTGAAGAACTAATATGAAGACAATATGTACATGAAAAAGATTTACGTATTCTCTTTGTCTCGGACAAACTATAACCACTGAAGTAGTGGCCGTTATTCAAGTGTTATTGCCAGAATCTTCTTGATTTGAACTGACTCTGAGCCACATGTAAGATGTCTTGAAACAGCCAAGTTATCTGTATTCATGGGATTACTAGACTTTTTGTACTTCGTCCATCGTCCGGTATTCCAACGGGCACAACGTTTCGGAAACAACCTGTTTACGAAACATTGTGTGTCATACATCATTGTCAGAACCCATTAGAATCTATCTGCATTCAGTTCTAAACATCGCTACTAGATGACCCTTTCGTTCAGGATCACGAGAAGTGTTATGTTTAGCTGACAAACATTCACTGTTTTATGTTGTTTCCAGTCAGGTGTCACACTCCCAGGAAAAGTGCACGCCCTGTGTGGTAACCTGTCCAAGAACTACCGCGATGTAACATGCTACCCCTTGCCCGATGCATTCAACCCTTGTGAGGATATTATGGGTAACTGGGGGCTGCGTTCGGCCGTGTGGCTGGTGGCAGTGGCTGCGCTCGTGGGAAATCTCTCCGTTCTGTTGGTACTTCTCAGTTCCCGTTTTCGCATGACTGTTCCAAAATTCCTGATGTGCAACCTGGCGCTTGCGGACCTCTGCATGGGCCTCTACTTGCTGCTCATTGCGTCAATGGATGCGCGCTCTATCGGCGCTTACTTCAACCACGCCATTGACTGGCAGAGTGGTCAGTACTTCAGTTCTTCAGGAAAATACGATAGAACCTGTTCATTCATTCCTTCCTTCATTGTATGATGCCAACCTGAGACAGAGACTCATAGAGTATTATTAAGTAACTTATGATGGCTGGATCGTTTAAGACTACTGAATTAAACAGGTTAGTTAAGTAACGATCCAGACTTTTATTTGATAGATATTTGTTTTGAATCTCGATTGGGACATTGCTGCCTGAAGTTTTTAGTGATTTTCCACATACCCTCCTGGCATACTGGGGAAGCACTGTGATTAGGTCACGACAACTTCCTTCCAAACCTTCATTCATCCTTCAACAGTCATTCTGCCATATGATGTCAAAAGTCTTAGGAATGAAAAAGCACAATTTAAAATAGAACTAAAACGATACTTTAACACTCACTCACTCAATATTTATTGTCTAAAAAGTGACCCATCCATTTAAAGGTTGTGTAAATAGCATAAGTTGACCGTACTGATGTGCGCGACTTTTCGATCTTCCTGTATATGTGGATGTATTTTTGAATAGCCTCATGTGTAACCACTGTGTTCTCTTGTGTGGATACTTCAGTTGTACTATACATACGTTTTTGTATCTATATGACATATTCCACATCCTACAGTCATTTTGACTAACTTTGGATCCAGAGAATGTGATGTGATTTAATGTAATGTAGTTCCGTAATCCAAACTATATAGTCTTGATATTTGAAGCATCGCTAAATAACCCACAGAAACAACACTGCACCAACTACATCAGTTATGTCTTCATTTAATAGGAAAATACTGTAGAGGAAGCAACCATGAACCATTTCAAGGTAGAGTCCATTATCCTGGAATTTCCTTTGAAAACTATGAAAACCCAGTCACTGTAGCTGAGATTCGATCTCTGTATCTCCCAAATACAGATGGGTGGATAATATTAAAATAGATCTTAGGGAGATGGAATGGGGTAATATGTACTGAACTGATCTGGCTGAGGATAGGGACCAGTGGAGGGCTCTTCTGAACATGGTAATGAACCTTCAGATTACATATTAGGAAATTCTTGAATGGCTACACAACTGGTGGCTTCTCAAGAAGGGCTCACCTCCATGTAATTAGTTGGTTACCTCCCGAACACAAGGCAAAAGTGTTACTCTTTGGGCCCAGTAACACAGCTCAAGCATACAATGGATTGTCATGAATTTTAAGTTTGTTGGAAGTGATAGTTATAAAGCTTTGTTGCACTGTGCATAGAGAAGTTACTGTAGAAGAGATGGGGATACTGTATTTCTCACTATAGGGGCTGGTACAAGTCTGAATGTAATCCAAGCAAAAAGATAGTCTACCATTCTTTCAGTCAGAAACAAATTAACTTTTTTCAAAATTTTGGCACAGTAACACAACATTTCTAGACACTGATGAAAAGCTTCACTGGTCTCATAACTCTCAATACACTTTTGGTTACACTGCTGGGTAACATGTTTAGATTACTATAAATAATATTCATGATATAAACTAAAGATCAGCAGAAATTACTTTTCAGTTGACACAAACAAAATGTTTTGAGCAATGTGCCAGGCATAAATTTTTGCCCAGTGTGTGGTTCACATGTGACGTAATTCCAGCCACTAACGTTGCAAAGGAAGTACCCAGGAAATTGTGAGACATTGAAATGTATTTGTGATGCTGCAGGTGGTGGTTGCCAGGTGGCAGGATTCCTCACCGTTTTTGCCAGCGAGTTGTCAATCTTCACACTAACGGTGATCACTTGTGAAAGATGGTACACCATTACATATGCCATCCATCTCAACAAACGGCTCAAACTCAGCACGGCTGGCAAGATAATGGCAGTGGGCTGGCTGTACGCGGTTGCCATGGCTGCTCTGCCTCTTATGGGAGTCAGTGGGTACTCCAAGACAAGGTGTGTTGTCCCTTTTGGTCAAATCTAGTACAGTCACATACTTCCAGGTCCTTTCACAGACAAACAACACAAATGCTTCTACATACAAATAAAAGCACACAAAAAAATACAACAAACACACAAACAAAGAAAATCTGCCCCCCCCCTCTCTCTCTTTTTTTGTTCCTTGTACATATGTGTTGTCAGGATTTATTCTGATGCTATCACCCAGAAGTTTTGCTTTCAAACTTACATTTATACTGTTTAAGACTATTTTTAATGATCACCTTTCAATATTCAGCAGAAAAATTAGTCCTAAAAGTACAATTATTCTGCTTCTGGACATTATCCATCTTCCTTTTTTCATTTAAAATACAGAGTGTTTTGAGACTGCATTCTGTCTCCATCTTCAGATGGAACTTACTCAATTGGGCGACATCGATAGACCTAGTACCTATCTCTGCTCTAACGATTCGGCCAAATTGAGTAAGTTCCACCTGAAGACAGAGACAGAATCCAGTCTCTAAAGCATTGTGTGTTTTAAATAAAAACAGTATGATGGATAATGAATATTTTATTCCAAAGTTCTGGGGGGGGAGCATGCCTAACTTTCCCTCCTTCAAGGGAAGCAGGGAATAAACAGCAGGTTTATTAAGAATGGTAACAAATACACAATAGACCACTGTAGGTCACGGTGCAAGGACCAAGAAGCCTACCCCTCATACATTCATTCATTCATTCATTCATTCATTCATTCAAGACTGGTAACGTGGGGCACAGTCCAAGTCAGTTCATCATCCGATTAGTCAGTAAGTCAGCCAGCCAAACGCGTTTAACTTGGTCAATCGAAATGGCAATATACTCAATTGCATACTTAATTTTTTTAAATGTGCACCAAAATGAATCTAGAAACTGGTTTTAGATGACATTATAATTCTGCTCACAACAAATACATAACTCTTTGCGTGGAATCCACAATTTCTTTCCACGTGTAGATTAAAAACCACAGACACATAAAACCAAATACAACCAGTTACAGAGCTAGTTGCTAATCATCATCATCATCATCATCATCATCGTCGTCGTCGTCGTCATCATCATCGTCGTCATCATCATCGTCGTCGTCATCATCATCATCATCATCATCATCATCATCATCATCATTGGCAAACTAGCCTTTCTTGAGCCATAACCTTCCTTAGAGGATTCTACCAGATATGATCTGGTTTTCACTTCTTAGGATTACCTAACAGTAATTTTTTTTATGGAACAAGATCACCAGCCTTTTGTCCAACCCTTACCTGGAGGCTAGTTTTTTTTTATTATTGCTAGTGGGGTGGGACTAAGTCCTTCATACTGCAGCTACTTCTGGCCTATTTTACAAGCCCCAGATGATAGGCGAGGGTGATTGTGGAGCAATTGGTGGAATGAAGATTAGCAGGGGAACCGAAGTACTCGGAGAAAACCTGCTCCAGGGCCACATTGTCCACCACAAATCCCACTAACCTGGAGGCTAGTTACTAACAGGAGGTTAGAAATATCGAGCACTTAACAATCCATGGTTTGTGATGAATTACTGTGCTTGATTTTGCTCTTCTCTTGAAACTGCCTTCAGTAGAAGAGAATTATCAATGTCATAAGTCTGTGTGAGCTTCGGCACAAAGGAAGGTGTGTTTAGAGAGGTAGTAGAGGCTGAGAGTTGGAGCTGACAGCAGCTGATGGACAAAATTGACTCTGTAATCTGTAATTTCACTCTTGATAGCTTCTCTGTCTCCTGAAACCAATGCTACTTCTGTTTGCTTATCGACAGTATCTGCCTGCCTATGGAAAATCAAGATTCTGCCGACCTGACTTACCTGGTGATGCTTCTCTCCTTCAATGGACTGGCCTTCTGGGTGATCTGTGCATGCTATGGTCGCATGTACTGCTCCATCAGGGGTGGCCAGGATGCTGCTGCAGCTCTGGCTCGTTCTGACATGACAGTTGCCAAGCGCATGGCCCTTCTCGTCTTCACTGACTTTGCTTGCTGGGCACCAATTGCATTCTTTGGCCTCACAGCCCTGGCAGGACATCCACTGATAGATGTACCACACACAAAGATTCTCCTTGTGTTCTTCTACCCACTGAACTCGTGTGCGAACCCATACCTGTATGCTCTACTCACCCAGCAGTATAGGCGGGACCTCTTCATTATGCTCAGTCGTTATGGACTGTGTTCCCAGCGAGCAGCCAGGTCAGTGTGATATACAAAAATTTTGAGTTAACTGGTGAGCCTCTTCACTTATTAATCCTTAAATTCTTGGACCTATATTTCACTGACTTCAGAAGAGGCGCTTAAAAGTCAGTAGTCACAATGGCCAAGGAATTTTCTGCCTTTTTTGAAACGTAAAGTATCAATATCTTGGAGTGGTTGCTGCATATAGTTAAAATGGATCAGACAAGTGTGGCTAAGAAAGCTTTTGATAGTTATTCATGTGGTAGAAGGCAGGTGGGGAGATCAAGATTGAGATGGCTGAAGGAAGTAGAGAATGATCTATGAGAGCCAAATATGAAAAGATGGAAACAAAAAGCAAATAATACTGAAGAATGGGCATGTAGTAAGAATGAGAGAAAGGTTCTTTAAGAAATATAGAGCCAACTGGTAAGCGCATCATAGGATTTCAGGTTTTCATAGTAGTTTTTATGAAGAGTACTATCTTCTGGGATAGGAGGGGGGACCTTTCTGACAGAAAAGGACTAAAGTATTAGATACCACTGCCAGGTAGAGGGTAGAAACCTTGCTGGCAGAAAGGGACTAGGAACCCCTGCCAGAGGAGGGACGACCTCGCTGACAGAAAGGGACTAACTATTAGATACCACTGCCAGTAAGAGGTTGGAACATCGCTGGCAGAAAGGGACTAATAGTAAGCACCAGTACCGGTAGGGTATGGAGACAGTAGAAATTAAAGGGGGACACAGAATAGACCAGTTACCAGTCTAAGTGCATGGGGAAACCCACCCCCTCAACACGGAATACGGAATCTTCTGGGATATAACACTGTGTTGCCCATTGAAAGTGAATCAACATTTTGAGGTTTTGAGAAGTGGATTGCTTTGCTTGCCACCTGCTTTCATGCTGGTATCTTTCTTTTTTTATTGCTATTGGAGTGGGACTAAGACCCTTGTACTGCGGCCACTTCTGGCCTACTGTACCAGCCCCAGATGATAGGTGAGGGTGATTGTGGAGCAATTGGTGGAATGAAGATTGGCAGGGGAAACCGAAGTACTTGGAGAAAACCTGCCCCAGCACCATTTTGTCCACCACAAATTCCACTTGACCAGACCCGGGATCGAACCTGGGCTGCCGCGGTGGGAAGAGAGCGACTAACCGCTTGAGCTGTGGTGCGGCCCCTATTGTGGCATGTAAGTCTTGCTGTCACCTGCCCTCATACCTGAATCCCACAAGAGCATGTGCTGGCTTTACTCTCTGCAGATCTCAATAAGTGTACTTCACTTTTCCCTGTTGCAGGTACAAGGGAGCAGCAGGGGTGATACCACAGGGATGTGGCATTGTGGGAACATGCACCGGTCGAATCGAGGGGCGCACAGGGAGTGGACCCAGTCACCGGGGTTCACTCCTCACCACAGTGACGTCAATGGATAGCCCCATCACACGACCAGGCTCACTCACAGCTGTTCCAGAGTGTGCCACAGTGAACACAACGATAGAGCTGCTACCTGTTGGTGACAATGAGAAACAGTATCCATCATCACAAGACAAGCATAATGAGCAGGGAAATGGCATACCTTCCAGCCACTAGATCTCAGCTTACCTTACCACGATTCATTTGTGCTGCTCTGTCAGTGAATCAGTACAACAGTTACTAAACCTGAAGTAAGGTAAAGTGGCCCCTTTGCTTAGCATCACTGCAGCGAAATGTATTCAAGATCCTGACAGCAAGTGACCATGAGTGAAAAGCTCCGCATTTCAGCTGCTGTACCCACTAGGAAAGAAGCCTCGTAACACAGTGGGTAAGAGACTAGATCGCAATATGGAGAATGGAAGTAAAAGCATATCCTTTACTGGGAGTGAAACCCCAGTTGATAGCATGGGTGGACCTTAAAGGCAAATTAATTGTTTGTTGGTAATAACGGGACTCAAATTAACTTTGGGTTTATTTTATGTCTTTGACATAGTGTCTTTTATGGAAATCCTATCTACCCATTGCATCTATTTCTGACTGTAATGAAATATTGTACAAAATCCTGAATCAGAAATGTCAGTTTTGGCATTGTCAACCATTTATGACTGGCTTTTAATGTGATTGTTCATTGCGTCCTAAATGTATCCCATTCGGTATTAATGGCTGGAGAATATGGAATCCAGAGGACATGAAACAAAAGAACACTAACATGACATTATTTCATACACACATATTCATTATAACATAAGACATATTTATAATTTTTTATAAAATATTATATCAGCTTAGATGGTGTGCTGATACTGTAACCATGTGTCTCCTTGTGTGTTTTGTTTTGTCAGTCACAGTCACCTTGACATATCTCAGTGTTTAGAAAACAAACAGTAGAGAAAGCATTGTTAAATAACCCATGCTCAATCCATTATAATTCTGGCCACATTTATATACAAAATAATCGTACATGTTTAATGGCATGATGAATAATTCCACGGCTACTGGTACTCTGTGATTCTGTGAAGGAGGCTGCCCTTGCCGTCACCCAATGCACATCTGAAGCAGTGGGCTGTAGAAGTAAACATATTTCAATCATTCCAGTTTCATTTATGTGGATCTGTAACTGTGTTATTGCAACCCGCACGGTGAAACAAACCGCTTCAGACCAAAGTCATGACAAAGAGCCAATATAGAGTTTTCTGTACAGACACAGGGAGGACATAACAATATTTCTTTTGTCCTCATTATCTTCCCCTTGACCTGTTTTTTTTCTGTTGTTTTTCTTCTTTCTTCAGTGAGCTTCTTCATCTGCTTTCCTCTCATTCTACTCTGCATTTTTCTTATTGACTTCTTGTTACTTCATATTTTCCACCACCTCATTCTTCCCTTTCCTCTTCACTCTGCTGATCTGCAGTAATTTTGCATTCAGGGCCTGAAACGGCCATGAAAGTTTTTTGAAACTTTGTTATTTCCTTGATTTCATATGTTTCTGTCTTTATAAATCCTAAAAAAGGCTGTAATGGATTTCTCACATAAAATTATGCACAGCAGCCTTTCAGAAATAAAGAACACTTCATATCAAATCTTGTAATAACAAGCTGTGGTTGATTTGGAAACTACAAGATAACATGACAAAACTGTTTGACCAGAGAAGTTAGATATAGTTTAAACTATCACAGGGAACAGTACCATGAAACTACATTCCTCTGGCTTAAAAATAAATATGTTGGGAATGTCATTAACTTATTATAATTCTATGATTTTTTTTTATAAATTGTAGATGATACTATAATAAATATTTAACAACATACTTTTGTTTAAGTAGTTGTGGAACCATAAATTGTCATTTAGAGAGTGACCTCTGTAGTTTTATATGTAACTATATCCATGTTTTAATAAATGCAACAGTGATTTTTCAGAATGACATGAAGCTGTCAGATGCCTGTTTATCAACTTTTTGTTTCTGAGTATTCGTACAGATTGCTTGCTGCTTGCTTATTTCTTTACTCCCCTTACTCCTCGACCGCAGTGGTGGAGGACACAGAAAGAGTTCCTATAGATGTTTCCCAGTCTCTGCCTATGTTGTATAATGTTCAGCTCCAGACCCCTGGCCTATGGCAACCAGCCCAGTGCTCTTGTCACAAAGAAGACTGGAGGGGAGTATAGGGCCATGTGACTTCTTTCCCTGGCCTCAGTATAGTAATGATGTTGGTATTAATGCTTACAAGGTCAGATCCTTCAGAACTCTAAAAGGCATAACACATTTACAACTGGAACTCTTTGTGCACTTGTTTAATATCTGTGATAGGAAGGGCTATAAGTTACACCTCAAATAAGTTCTGAACATGGATTTAAGATAAGGATTAGTGTGTGGTGTGGATTATCAGAATATTTTTGGGGCTGAAATTCCTGATCTATTGGTTTAGGTGTATTGAGGAAAACAGTAAAGAACCAAGCGCATGTTAGTCACAAGAGAGGAATAGAAAGGGTATTTTGGTAGGATAAATTGAAGGATCTTGGGGATACAAATAGAATATTTAGATGGATGTTGGAAGAAATGGAGCGAAGGGGGTGGTATGTGGACAGGATTCTTTTATTATTCTTATTGGAGTGAAACCATTTAGTACTTTGGCTACTTGTAGGTTATAGTACCAATCCTAGACAATTGTGGTTGTAGAGCAGTTGGTGGAACGAAGATTGACAGGGGGTACCTGTAGATAAGACGCAGTGGAGAAATATCTGCGGCCAGGGACCATACAACAGTGCATATAAGTTCAAATTAAAATTTCCGTTAGTATAATCAAGCCTGTTAGCACATTTTGCCGAGAGAAAATTCAGAGTTTCGGTTGAAGGTGAAACGTTTACACCAAAAGAAAAAAGAGTGTCACGCATTGTACAGCATTTGTATAAATGAACCCCCCCCTCCTCCTCAAAGTAGTTTATATCTAGATGTATTTGCTGCTGGCACCTATGTATATGTGGCTGAGAGAAAAGAAGTGTATGTTCTCAGAACACTGCAGCGAAGTCTGGATGCGATTGAGATGCAGTGTGAGCGCTGGAACAAAAGAAATGAAATTTTATGACAGGAGAGTTAGATCAGTTGAGTGTCATCTCATACTGAACAGATGAAGAACCCCCTTCGTGAGTCATGTACAACATCTCTATATTTTTCGGTAAGAGGATTAGATACAGAAATGATAGAAGCCAATGCCCTCACAACAGTCATTAGAGCATGTTCTTCATTGAAATTGGGCGATTAAGCTCTAAGATGAAATGTATCATCTACAGAGCATTATTTATGTGTGCAATAAGGGCCGCGCCATAGCTCAAGCGGTTAGTCGCGGGCTTCCCACCGCGGCAGGCCGGGTCTGGTCAAGTGGAATTTGTGGTGGACAAAGTGGCGCTGGGCAGGTTTTCTCCGAGTACTTCGGCTTCCCCTGCCAATCTCCATTCCACCAATTGTTCCACAATCACCCTAACCTATCATCTGGGGCTGGTACAATAGGCCAGAAGTGGCCACAGTACAAGGGACTTAGTCCCACCCCACTAGCATTGAAAAAAATGTCTGCGATGATGCTTGCCTTGGGATTTGCGGCAAATACCCACGTTTCGAAAGTGCAGCGCTTAGAAATCAAGGTTCTCTGCAACAACACCAGTATCCAAAGACGTAGAGCGGTCAGCAACCAGAAGCCACAGAAGATCATGAAAATGCAAATGTTCAGAATACTGAATAAGGCTAAGCCCGACAGAACACGAGGATTGAATTTTGGGGCGTTGAAGCTTATGATCATTGAGGTGACTAAATTGCCGGTCTAGCGTGAGCTAATGAAAATAAGGCAGAATCTGTTGTGGGCTGACAGGGGGCTTGTATACAGGGTGTGTCACGACTTTAGGGCATAACTGCAGGAGGTGATTTCCTAGGTCTTTGTGATCAGAAAAGTTGTTATAAACATGTGTCCGATTTTGGACGGTTACGGAGTTATGACCGTTTTTTCATTCCCGTACACGCCCTCGTGAGAACCGCGTCTATCATCTGGCAGATCGCTATTTTTAGCCAGCTACAGACAGAGCGTTCTCGTTATCTCGACACTTGAGATGTACCTAAGGCGTAGTGGGTTGGTAAGTAAGGCCACAGCCAATGTGGTGGCTGCTGGTGTTCAGAACAGTTCTCATTTCGGTGCGTCTGTTACGCTCACGATGCCATTTACATTTTCATTTGAGGAGTATGCAGATATGATTTATGTGTACGGGTTTTGTGACGGTAACTCAGGTCTTGCCGTAACTGAATATCAGCAACGGTTTCCGAACCGCAGAATACCGAACCGGAGAGTGTTTACTGGAGTTTACCAGGCATTGCGAGACACCGGTAGACTTCCCGGCGTTCGTATTGCAGCCGAGCGTGGTGTTAATGAAGGCGCCAATGAAGAAGGCATTGTTCGTATGGTACACCGCAGTCCACGTACGAGTACGCGAAGAATTGCCAGCCAGGTCTCCAGACTTAAGCCAACTGGATTATTGTGTGTGGGGATGGAAGAAAGAATTGGTTTACGATGTGAAGGTTACCTTCTATTCTGAGTTTAAAACGAGCATAACTCCGTAACCGTCCAAAATCGGACACATGTTTATATGAACATTTTTGATAACAAAGACATAGGAAATCACCTCCTGCAGTTATGCCCTGAAGTCGTGAAACACCATGTATATTGCCAGAAGAGCCATGTGCAGTACATACGTAAGTTGTAAAGGTCGTAACATGCAGTTTAGAGGAGGAAGGACGAAATATAGAAAGTAATTGACTGCGACAAGTGAGAAGGGATAGACCCGTCTTGTCATCAGAAAGGATTCCTATTAAAGGCCAAATAGTGAAGCTTACTTCAGGACTAAGATCTGGACATGAGCGTCTGAATGAGCTCTAAATTAAGAGAAAGTGACTGGCCAACCGTCAGTCGTAAAATGACTTTGAAACGAAGCAAGTAGTAAAGAGAAATTTTGTAGAAACGAAGCGGTAGGATATGTGGAAGACGAATGCGAATAGTTGTCATAACCGTGGCGGTCCTTTGGTAAGGCACTGGTGTATGGTTTAGAACGTTTAGAAGGTACGTGGTTCGAAGATATGACTATTTTTGTGGGGGGGGGGGAAAGAATGCAAGAAATTTGTGCATGTAGGAAGTGCCGAAGTTTCATCATGTTCCGATGTTGGTTGGGGTAAGTAAATCAATTAGTGCTCCATTGGCTATCTCACGAATGCAGATATCAGAGCATCCCGTTTGTTACTGATAGTTGCATAGAAGTCAAATATTGTAATTTAATATTACAGGCATGAATTAAAAACTGTGGTTTAACTTTGAAAAGAGTAACCGTACAAGACTGTGAACTTCAAGTAATTAACTGCGTTAAGCTGAGCCTTTCATGAGCAGACACCATTCGGTCAGCTATTCAAGAATTTCCTGACACTTCATGGAACACTAATACTTATTGCTGTGTTCACAAGAGCCCTCCACTGTTAGCTGTCCTTAGCCAGATCAGTCCAACCCATACCATCCTATCCAATCCTATCCTATCTCTTGAAGATCCATTTTAATGTTGTCCACCCACCTATGCCTTGGTCTCCCCAGTGGTTCTTTCCTTCTTGGATTTCCCACAAAAATCCTATATGCATTCCTCTTCTCCCCCATTCGTGCTCCATGCCCTGTCCATCTCATAATTCTTGACTTGATCATTCTAATTATACTTAGTGAAGCATACAAGTTTTGAAGCTCCTCATTATGCAGTGAAGGAGAAGTAAAAAGTGAAAGCTGTCCCTGTGCTTATCTAATTAAAGAATGTGCCATGAAGGTGTATGGGGGAGTGGATATATAGGTCCACATTTTCTTGACCTCAGCACTAGCTGGAGATGAATGGTCAGCTTCACCCCCAGGAAAAGAGACCCATGGTACCCACTGGATGGGAGGCATTGGGTGGACCCTAGAGCTGGTCTGGACAATGTGGAGAAGAGAAAATTCTTGACCCTACTGGAACTCAAACCCCAACCCCATGGTTGTCAAGCCCGTAGCCAGTCGTTATACCAACTTTGCTATCCCAGTTCACCCTCATGCAGTATACTTTGAACTATTGCTTTATCCCTCTTTGATCCAAATATTCTTTTCAGCACACTGTTCTCAAGCACTTAGGTCTGTGTTCCTCCCCTAATGCCATAGAACAAGTTTTGCATCCATAGAAAACCACAGGCAAAGTTATACATTTATATACTCTAATTTTTCACTTTTTTCTCAGACAGCAAATGAGAAGACAGAAGGTTCCAGACAGAATGGTAGCAAGTATTACCCAAATTCAATCTGCTCTTAATTTCCTTCTGAATCAAATTCTGATTTATTCCTTTTGTTCCCAAATATTTGAACTTTGTCACATTTTCAAAGGATCTTAGCTATATTTGTGGTTTTGCCCTGCATTTTGGTGACGAGACAGCAACATATACTTAGTTGTCTCTGTGTTTACTTCTAGACCAACCTCCTCACCAGCATCAAAGTTTTTGTGTTTTTTCTTTATGGTATCTATATTATCTGCCAGTAGATTCACATCATCAGCATAGACCAACAGCTGATGTGTTCCATTTAATTTCAGTCCCACCTGGTTTTCCTGACCCTCCTAATGGCAAATTCTAAAGCAGAGTTGACAAAAATTTGAGATAAAACATCTCCTTGTTTTAGACCATTTTGGATAGGAAACATGTCAGACAAATATTTACCTATATGGACTTCAATTTTTTTATTTAATTAATAGCATATTTACAATCTACTCTCGATAACATGGAGTAATAAGTAAATTTGTTCTATGTAGCTGTCTTGAGTAGAAAAGTCATCCACTGATGATACTCTGACAGGCCCTGTAGAGGAATGGTGATGGTTTTAATCTTCGTCGTCTGCG